AGCAGGGCACTCAGCAGCGCATTGTGGGGTTCAAGAGATAACTTGATTGGGGTTAAGTCACCCAGGGGCAAGGCAGAGCCGGTTTTCTCTGTTCAGAAACAATTCCTGGGCTTGGCAACCGTCCCTCCACGTCCCCACTGCAGAGCAAGGCTGCACAGACGAGTGTTACTCCCAGGTCACAACTTCTCACGCGGGCAATAGCTGTTTTATGGTGTGGGGAGAAGTCCGCTCCACGTTTGTGGCTATCAGAACCGAAGGGCAACAAGTCAATTCCGTTCCGCCACAGTGTGGGCTGGCCTTGCAGGAAACGCTATTCTGCAAAGTGACAACCGGTGTCCTGGGCCTCGAGATAGGGAAGTCAGGCTGCCTGTGGCAGCGGCTGATTTTGGTTTCTCACTGAAGCTTTTATCTGGCATCTCTTTGGGATGACAGGTCCCAGGGAAGGCAGCTGTCACTTGCCATTGCTGTGACCCGTAAGTGGGAGAGAAGGCAGGGCAGAGAAAGGCTCTGAGCTCCCTCTCTAGAAGAAATCCACCCATGGGGGCGGGGGAGGAGAGAAGGGTCTTCACCCCTGAAGGGGTAAGAGCAGAAGCGATCTGGGTTAGAGTTCTGGCTCCAAGGTGGATCAGCTGTGCCTGTCTTGTGCTCTCACTCTCTGGGATGCCTGAGCCTTGAGTTTTGGGGTCAGACACACATGGATTCAAATCCCATCTCTGCCACCTGCAGACTCTGACCTTGGGCGAGTCGCACACTGCCCTGAGCCTCAAATCCCTCATCTGTGAGATGGGCTCATAACAGACCTACCACAGAGGATTGCAGAATGTGATAATGAACATACAGCGCCTGGCACACAGTAAATTCTTAATAAGGTTAAATATCACGGGCCTTTCCCCACAGCAGCTCCTTATGCCTCAATTTCACTTCTGCAAGACGGGAACCCCGAAGAACAGCTTCCAAGACTGCTGTGCGGACCGAACGAGATGACGGGCGCCGAGACCCTAGCCTAGGACACATATTCCCCGAGAAGCAGGCTGAGGGTTGGGGCCTCAGTCTTCGCATCTGCAAAATGGGCACTTGGTCCCCTTCGTGGCCCAGGAACCCCCGAACGGCGGCGGAGGCGACTGCTCTTCTCCCCTCCGAACCCCTCGACCCTCTCAGATCCCTGTGTCCGTCCGGCCCCGCCGCTCTCTCAGCCCGAGCCTCCCAGGGGCGCGCCCAACCCAGGCCTCCGGCGACCCCGGCCGCTCCCCTGCCCCACTACCTATGGTGGAGATGAAAGTGGAGTTGAAGGCGTCCTCGGAGAAGCGGAACAGGACACAGGTCTTCCCCACCCCCGAGTCCCCGATCAGCAGCAGCTTGAACAGGTAATCGTAGGTCTTCGCCATATTACACTCTCTCCCCGACGGGAAGTGCGGCCAGCGCCTCGCCACTGGCCGCTGTTCCCGTCCATCAATACCCAGTTCGCCTCCCATTGGCTCCCAGCCTTTGGCGCGTCACCGCAGCCTACGCCCGCCCCTGCGCCCCGCCCGTCGCGGGGAGAACTGGGGAAGGGGCGAGCGGGGCGCGGAGCCGGAAGCGGCCCAAGAACGCCGCTCATTGGCCGGCGCTCGAGACAGGGCGGGTTGCGATTGGCCAGCGGTGAGGAGTCTAGGGGCTTCAAAAGAAGACCAGGACAAGGGGCGTGGTCTCTCGTGTCCCGGCTTTCTTTCCCGGACTCTATGGAGGCCCCGCCTTGTCCCCGAGGAAGGCGGGGAGCGCGCTGGGATCAGCGCCAACGGCTCCGCGCCCCCGCAGCCCGGGGAGGAGAGCTTGCGCACGCGCGCCAGGGAGACCGTTAGGTGCCAGCAGAGGGCGCACGCGCATGGGGTCTCTGGCTCCCGCCTTCTCGGCCCGCGCAGGCTCAGTAGGCGCCGGGAAGAGCGCGGGAAGGCGCGGTGCCTTCGGTGGTGTCGTCTGGAGGCCTCCGCTTCGGGCAGGGCAGTAAGCAGGCCGGGAAATCCGAAGAGGAAAGGAGAGTAGGGGGGCTGGTCACAGTGGAAACGAGACAATCCCCCTTCTTTCCACCCCCCACCCTCACCCCGCCCCCATGTGTACTCTGGGATCTAGGCGCTGGTCAGGGGACCGACTTAAAGCTACCCAGGCCTTCACCAGCTGAGCTCGCGGGCACAATTCAGGGTGGCCCTCGGACCTAATTAGAGGCTGTCTAGGACATTCTCTGCCTTCAGTGTTACCCTGTGTTAGAGTCACCGCAGGAGGGACGCACGAGGCCGAAAGGAGTGAAGAATTATACATTTACTAGAGGCCCGGTGCACGGATTGGTGCACGGGTGGGGTCCAGCAGGCCCTGCCCCCTGGTTGAACTCCCGGTTGAGGGGGCAATTTGCACATTAGCCTTTTATTTTATAGGATAGGATTAGGTCACCTGGATACCCAGATGGGCTGAGCCCCGAAAAGGCACCAGCACCCAAAGACCGGGAGTCGGAGGTTTTTAGAGGACTCTGGCGGCCTCTTTCTGGGCGGAGAAGTCCCTGTGCAGGTGCGGATTCGGGAAGCTCCGGAGGGAAGAGAATGGTCTCAGCAAGTGGAGTGTCCCCTGTGACGTGGCCTGAAGGCCGGTGGGGGGGGGGGGGGGTATCGACCGATTCTTTGATGAGACCCAGCACCCTGGAGCTTCCCTGCCCTCACAGTCAGCCCTCTGGAGCTCAGAACCCGCCGGCAGGTTAGGAGAGCGAGAGAAACCATGTAAGACGTTCCATCCCCACTGCAGCCCGCTGAGGTAGGTACTGCTGTGTGACCACGCTTTGTTTTGTTGTCTTTCAATCCTCACCCGAGGATATTTTTCCCGTTGATTTTTAGAGAGAGCGGGAGGGAGGGAGGAGGTGAGAGAGAAACAGCCACATGAGGGAGACACACATCATTATTGGCAAAAGCCCCCACCAAGCCGGGGCTCAAACCGGTGACACAGAGCCAAACAGCTGGGGCCGATTCGCCCCATTTTATGGCGAGGAAACGGGCCAGAGGGGCTAAGTGACTTGCCCAGGCCCCAGCGTGGGAAGCTGGATGATGAATGCAGACCCAAAAGCTGCAGAGGCCCAAGTCCTGATCACTAGGGTTTCCTGCGTCTCAGAGGTGGGCCACAGCCCGTGTGCGGCCTCGCCGCGTGGAGTCGCTCTGGCCATCGGAGTGGGGTCCCGGCCATGGTCCCGGGCTCTCCTCCCTGCACCTCAGCCCATTCCATTCATCTTGTTTAGGAAAAGCGCCAGCCAGAGTCGCAGACTACTTTGCAGGTTTCAGTCCCCGTGGTAGTTGGTAGTTGATGCTATTGACCACCTTCCTCTGGCAATTCCTTTTCTTGGCACTTTTCCCACTTCATTTGCCTGTTTCTTCACCTGCCACCTACAACTCCCCTTCTCTGGGTGTTGCTTGTCAGATTCCCTTGCAGTCTTTGGTGGGGGGGGGGGGGGGGGTCTCTACTTGTCCCCTAGATGTCCATGTGCCTCACGGTTCCCTTCCTATCTGTTTGCACCTCCTAGGTGGTCCCCCCGCCCCCGTGGCTTCTAGTATCTCTCCACACTGGTGATTCTCACTTCTTAGAGAATCTAGTGCCCAGCGATCACTCTGTGTCCAAGGGCTTTCTCAGCATCTGCCCTTGGATTTGTCAAAGATCCTTCAGATTCAGCATGGCCACAACCGACCTCATCATCTGCTCACATGAGCTTGTCCTGAATTGCCTTCTATCTGAAACCTAAGTTGTCTGTGAGACTTTTCTTCATCCCTCGCATTCTGGTTCTCAGGGACATTCTCAGTAGCTCTTGAATCTTGCTCTTCTGTTTCCATCGCCCCTCAGATCATCACATCTCCCAATGGTCTCCCTGATCATTCTCTAATCCAGACTCCATCCTGCAGTGTGCTCATTCATTCTAAGACACTCAATATCCATCCATGGTCTACGGGCAGGATAAAGTCCTCACAACCGGTCCTAACCTCACCTTGTGTTCCACGCACACGTCATGGGACTGGATTCCCCAAGAGCTGAGACAGTTCAGTTTAATAAACATTGAACACTTGTGTTAAAGTGTTCAGGCACAGGACTAAAACAGTATCCTGAGATTAGATTATATCCCAGGGGGGTGGGAAGGAGGGAGAAGGAACTTCAGTCTAGTAATTGTAGGACATTTAGAGGGGATACTATTTTATTGACATTCTCTTCTACCATCTAAATGAGCTCAGTGTCAGCTAAATGTTGAATAGCAGGAAATGTTTTCAATTGTACTTGGTAACAAAACATTGTTTGCATGCTGCATCAGTGTTTTAACGCCTTTCATTTCTCTTTTTGATTCCCTAGCTCCCTTTTCCAAGATGTGATCTTGAGGCAAATACCAAAACAATTCAGGTAGTTAAACTGCAGTCAGCTAAATCTTAAGATTACTTCCTTCAGATCACTTCTTCCTTCCTATTCCATGGCAAGTACTAACCTGGATTAATTGAAACATCTTTCTAACTGGTCTTCCTGCCTCTAGTGTATCCCCATTTTAATCCTTTCTGAAAAGGAATGCTAAGTGGAGTTTTCTAATGTCAATGGCTCTCCACTTCTGACCAAGTTATGTTCAGGCTCTCATCAAGGTGGACCAGCCTACCTTCCAGCTTTCCTATATTTTTCCTTTATGCGATGTACAGGAAACCTTTCCAGGCAGGCCAGTGCTTTCCTAACTAAAGCAACAGGGACCATCTTTCCTACTCCTATTCATCTATTAATATCCTACTCATTCTTCACAGTCCGGCTCATGATTGGGAATAACAAAGGACAGGAGCTTTTGAGTAACCGAGGCAAAGCGCTCTCACTGTAATAAAGAGATCATAATCCTTATATCATGAAGTCATGGTATGAAGCTAATAAATAAAATTTGCTCAATTCATGGCACAAGTATCTATCCATCCCATTTAACATTCATTGAACCAAAATGCCTGATATGTCCTCACACATTCTAAAATTCACACAAATTATAGTTTATGTAAAAATTTATTTGACCAAAATGTAGAAAAAGTGATACTATTACATATGATACAGTTGCAAGAATCTAAATGAAAAGTGTGGGTTTTATTCAATTGCACAATTTGCTAGTGTATCTCCTGGGTAGTGTGATGCGTAATAAATAGGAGTGAGGGGCAGAGGAGTCCAAAAAGCTAGAATCAGGGTGATTTTTAGGCAGAACTGTAAACTTGAGTTACTCCCCTCACTGCTGGGGAATATGGAATGTTTCAGCTGAGATGTTAATCAAGAAAGCAAAAATATAACAAAGCCAAAATGTGCAGCCCTGTCTACAAAATACTCCACATCCAGTTGAATCAGGAGTTTCCTGGTCTTTTATTAACTTGGTCCTGACGAAGGAATTAAAGCCCTAAATAAGTAAATCTTCAATTTACCATTCCCTAAGTACAGAGGAGATAAGTTAGGCCGATTACATTCTCTTCTGCCCAATATTTAATAGAAAAATGCTCTTGCTTAATTATTGAAGGCTAGCAGTCTTTTTGGTATGGCTTCCTGAACAGGACTGAATTCATTCCTGCTGAGTGGATGGCCTCAAATAAGAGTAAATGTTATAACTATTTCCCAAGCATTCTCACACTGTTTGCTCAAAGGATGTTCTGCACAGTAGTGTGTGGAAAAGAGCCAGAACGACTACTCTATGGTTTATGACTTCCCACAATAGCCTCTCCCCAAACCTTTTTATGCTCTGGATGGAAAATCCCCACCCATTTTAATGTGATGGTCCCTGGACTCCTATAGTGTGTCCAACGGTGGCCCAGTGGTTCTACTCTTCAACCTTTTAAATTGGCCAGTGACTAGATATTAGAGTCTGTGTTTTGGAAGTGTGGAGTTGTTTAATCTCCCAGAAACCATATGCCCTCAGTCTTAAGAGACTAATGTTCAATAGGAAACACCCTGACTAGCTTAGGAATAAATGCAATTTAAGGATAAAAATAGAGCTAAAAAAATCTGGTGCCATTTGGGGAAGAGGGGAAGGAATTAGATTTAACTGATGCTCAAAGCTTCTCTGATACAAAATATTTGGTCACATACTCATAATTTGCGTAGATGCAGTAACAAAAGAAACTTCTTACAAGAGAAGAGAAAGAAACGGAGGTCTGGAGCTTCTGTTGGAACAAGACTCTTCTGATGTGGTTATATACAGTTAAGTTCATTCAGTGTCTGATCCAGTGTCTGATGTAAGCCCACGTTCTCTTCTTTGGCCTGAGCAAGTTTTTCTGGTGAGGATTAAGAGTGGAAGAAAAATAAATTAATAAGCATCTTTTTAAAGAGGGGTGGGGGTGGGGGTGGGGGAAAAGGTTTCCTAAAATCCATACTGCCAGAGTATACGTCATAGCAGAGAAAGCATTTTGCATTTTAATTATAATGAAACACCATGGAATAATAGAGATCAAGTACCAAATTTGGGAGTCAGATCAGATTGCAGAATAAAATACAGAGTGTTCAGTTGAATTTGAATTTCAGGTACACAAACTTTTTAGTATAAGTATATGCCAAATGTTGCATGAGATATACATATACCAAAAAATTATTCATTGCCTATCTGAAATTCAAATTTAATTGGGCATTCTGTACTTTAATCTGCTACATCTGGCAACCCTAAAGTCAGAACTCCTGGATTTAAGTCCCTGCTGTGCCAATGAAGTAAGCCATTTAACCTTTCTAGGTCTGTTTCCCCATCTGTCAAATGGCGATAACAATACTACTGTGTGGTATGGGGGTTATTATGAGAAAGAATGAAAAATGCTTCAGAACTTATGAGGTGCTACACAAACATAAGATTTTAATTCCAGATATGGGTGACTTAATACATCTCCCCCCTAAATGCCAGTTAATTAGTCCTGTAACCCATCTTTCTTTTGGAGCTTCTGGGAATGGCTATTGAAATTCCACCCGTAATTGTGTTATTGCGTCTATGTGTCCATAGCAATGTAGTCAAACCCAAGCAAACGCAACATGATTGAAATTTAAGCTAAACTACGGGTATGTTATTAAGTGATTGAGCTGATGACACAATTTTTTTTTTTTAAGAAAGTAAGATGCCATTTAGAGCTATGCATGACAGAATACGAGGGAGAACTGGTTTGCCGTGAGTGATGGCTGATAAGGGACTAGGCCAAGACTCATTAAAATACTGAAGGGAAGTAAAATGTCTCCTAAAAGGTGATAGGATCAGCTTGGAAATTTTCAGAAAGGAAAAAAGCCTTTCAAATACAACTGCGAAACTTTTCATTTGACCAGGCACTTAAAAAAACCTAGCCACTCTGACCTCAGAGGATTCCATCAGAACAGTGACCCAGGCCTATCCAGTGTAGAAGGATACATGTAATTGAGTGCCTACTGTGTGAGCTAATTTCTCCATTATCTCATTTAATTCTCACAATAACTAAGATAGCACCTTTATTTTGCAGAAAAGCTAAATAGCTTGTTCAAGGTCACACAGCTAATGTGGTAGAGCTAGAATCAAAACCCCGACATCCCAACTACAAATCCTGATCTCACTTCACCTTGCCACTAGATTCCTGGCATCTACTTTGCTATTGGGGCTGAGATAAAATAACTTTCCCTGAGCGTGTTAATTGCCCTTGGGAATCATGACAGTCCCATAGACAGGTAGTAGTAGATCACCATAGACCCAATCCAGAGTAACCGGAGAGGCAGAGCTGCAGCTGTTTCAAAGGGTGGAGGCTACAAATGTCTGGAAAAATCCCAGGAACAAATACACAGAGAGAACAAACAGAATACATCCACCTCCACACAGTCTGTAACTTTTCCAGGGGTGGATGTGTGACAACACGTGAGGGGTGTGGTTTATACCGAAGTTCCTGGTGGATGGCAGTTAGAAGCAGGGAGATGCTGGGGGTGGAAGGGTGTGGGTTGTTTAGGGGAGATGTATTTTGGAGCAATGACTATAAAGAAAAATCAGGACAGAGGTTCCCACTTGAATCAAAACAGGATGAGGAATAACAGGTCGTAGGGACCCCACATTAATGCTAACGAGATTTTCACGCCATTGTCAGGTTCGAGGGGAAGTCTGGAAGATGTGGCTTGGACATCAACCTGTCAGAGTTACTGAGACAATCTGAGGTGGTGGTGGAGTGCAGGGGAGGGCTGAATGGACTTGCAAAGGCTCCTTTTTAGTTAACTCAAGTATAAGGGGAGGTAGATGTTAGCATCTCAGGCGACTTTGTTTGAAACTCAGAAAAGGATCACCTCGCTTCCTTTCTTTGGCATTCCAGCAGCTTCCACTCTCTCCCTGCTAATGGGATGCTCTTTAATTCTTTGTAGGGTAGTTTTCTACAGGCAAGGTATAGGGATGAAGTTCATGGGTGAACTTCTTCCCAGGACCGAGAGCTGGATAGATATTCCACAAACAATGAAAACATAGGGAACCCTAGACACTGTTCTCAGAGTATAAAGAGAAACAAATGCAAAAAGGCGTAGAGATGAAAATGCTGTTGCCACTGTTTGAGTCCGTAGAGCAAACCCCATTCAAGCGTAGCCTCTTTTTAGACACAATCCTGCTGGTTTCTGCAAGTTCTGCTGACTCTATGAAGCTGCTTAAGAAGGTGGATGAATCTCCACTCAAAACAATTTCTGTTTAAGGAAAAACAGTTACTGGTAGATACAGAGTCTGAGAGCTCGTGCCAAATTGGCTTTTGTTTTCATGTCATCAGAAAATAATCGCATGGGCATAATTTTCTTTCTGAAATGAGCTCTTCATTTGAACCACCCACATCAAGGGCACCACAGCTACTACGGCTCAAGAGCGGCAAGTGGAAAAAATGAAAATAACAGGGCATGAAGATGAGGACCCCCTGTCTTTATTTCGGTCACACAGTCACAGTCACAGCAGATGGCGGCTTGAAGGGTCAAACCAGGAGGCAGGAAATGGGAGCACAGGTACCATAGTGAGAAGCAGACTTCAGTTTTGCTAGGACAGAGGACAGCACCCTGCTGCCTCTCAGAGAGAGGTCATGTCGTTGAGAGCATGGTCCAGCTCCTCGCTGATAGCCTTGTACTTGAGCTTCTGAGCGTATAGCTCATCTAGAGGGTGGATGTCCCCAGAGAGAGTTCAGAAGAAGAGGTACAGGGGACAGAATGCGAGGGTCGAAATGGCGTGCCACAGATGAGCAATGAAAGGGAGAAAAAAAGTGAGAAAACAAAGCATGAACTAGGAGGAAGTTGTGTCTTACGTAAAACAAGAAAACAAAAGATGGACAGAGTGATTTCTAAGCATTTTGAAGTTCTACTGGGGATTAGTCATAACCTTTAAAAGAGTGGTGACTACAAATGCACAGGTCACTAGTCTCCTGCCCTGGGTTGTTTCTGACTTTCAATGATGTCACCTGGTTAAAGGTCGCACTTTGGAAGGAGGGCAATTCTCCTTATATGGAAGCCTCACTTCCCAAACCAAACTCGGGACACATGATCTGAGGAATAAGTTTTGTACCTTTTCTAGGTGAAAGAGGCAGCTTGGGGGATCCTGTCTGAACCCCAAGATCTGGAATTCCAGAATTATTTCATGAAGAACACAGGACAGAATTTTTTAAAAAGTTGGAACTCTATAAGAAATTCTGGAATCTGTGGGGGCACCAGGCTTGCAGACTGGAGTCTTTATTTAGTCCCTACGTTCTCTGTATTTCCGTTGTCTCATATAGTGATAAGCTCAGCTCTCTGGGAGAGAGCTTCTGTAAAAAATGCAAGGCATCTGAAAAATGCAAGGCATCTCTCAGAAATGAGGAAATGGAGGAAAATTCTAAAGACATTAAAAAAAAATCAGCCATATTTGGGTCTTTGTATTCACACGTGGAGGTAACTAACCAAAGATATTTTATTTCTAAAAAAATGGCAACCCGAGTCTGAATTTGATTGGCATTATCTGATTCCAATGCTCCAGACTTCCAGATGTGACATCACTTTGCACTTACTATCCGAAACTGAACATAGCCCAACTTAGTCCCTGCACAGATTTCCCCCAACTTTCCATGGATGTGTCAAGTAGGGGGAGACAGAGCAAACAAAATTAGATGGTAATTTCATACCTTCCAGGTCATCAATAGATTTTTCCAGTTTTGCAACTGTTCTCTCTGCAAATTCAGCACGGGTCTCGGCCTAAAGGAAAAGACGAGAGTTACTATGATTGCTTCAAGACCAGCGCCAGGAGAAACTTGACCAGTTGGGTGTGATCACTCACCTCTTTCAGTTTGTCAGACAGAAGTTTAATTTCTTCTTCATATTTATCCTCCTTTTCAGAATACTGTGGGAGAAATCAAAATACTGCTTTTAAAAAAAGAGGAAAAGGCATACTGGTTCCCTGCTCCTTGAAATAAAGTGTGCTTGAACATGCCTAAGAAGTAAAGTAGAGGCAGGCACCTTTCCAGGCAGAAGAAATGTGTGCAAAACTCAGAGAATCTGTGGGAGACCCCTCTGGGATGGTACTGAGCTGATAACTTGAGCTAAAAGTGTGATGAGGTGGGGCCAATGATTGAATGGAAATGCATGCTATTCAAGGCCCTTCACATCTATATTTCTAACCCCATTTCCCACCAACTTCCTCAAGGTGCTATCAACTTCCTCAAGAAATTTTGTGTACTTTCTGGTCTCCCAGCTCTGTCTATGATGGGGACCCAGGGACAGAATGTTCCTTTCCTAATTACCACCTGTTAGAAATCATGTGTCTTTCAAGGCTCAATTCAGATGAATATCTATCTATATATATAAAAGCCCAGCGACTGAATCAACCAGTCGCTATGATGCGCACTGACCACCAGGGGGCAGACACTCCATGCAGGAGCTGCCCCCTGGTGGTCAGTGCACTCTCACAGTGGGAGGGCCGCTCGGCTGACTGCTTGGCTGACCTGCTTGGCTGACCGGGATGAGCAGCTGCTCCCACAGCAGGCAGATCCCTGCAGGCCACGCCCCACACCAGTGCACAAATCCGTGCACAGGGCCACTAGTTAGTTAATATTTACCAACTGCTTGCAATGTTGCTAGATAGCCTCAGTCCCATTTTACAGATGAGTAAAGAGGTCATTTGTCTAGGGTCACATGGCTATCAAGTGACCAAGCCATGAGACTGGAATCTGACCCTGGAATTTGAGCTCCCGGCCATCATTATGTTCTGCAGCCTTTTTTAAGGTCACCTCCTCATGACACCTTTCCCAACTTTCCAAGGTGCCTCTGTTGAAATTCCAAAGCACATTATTATCTTGTTAGTCTCTTCCACTCGACTCTGAGCTCTCACAGAAGCAAAGGCAACATTGTCATGTACGCCTGGATTGTATGTATTCCCCAAATATTGGTATCAAATATATGCCAAGCACAAGGCTAGGACTAATGATATAGCTCTAAACAAGTCAGCTATGGGACCCAATTCTTAAAGTTTACAATCTAGAAAGGAAGGCATGTAATTGAGTAATTATGATGGATGAGATCAATCATCATGATAGGAAAAGATGTAGGTGGGGCTATGAAGCCAAGAGACGCCTAACCTAGATGAGCAATCAGGGCAGGCTTCTCAGAAGAAGTGCTGTTTAAGCAAAGGCCTGAAGGATGAATAGGTTGTCAAGCAGAGAAAAAAGGAAAGGTTGCTTCCAACAGCAGGTTTAAAGAACTGGCAGTGATGAGAGAACATGGAATTTTTGTGAAACTGAAGTTCAGTGCTACTGGAGGATAGCAGGAGGAGGGTGAGGAAGCAATGAGGATGGGGAATTCAGCGGGGTAGCCGAGGAAGACTACACGTTACTCCTAATGTGATTCTATCCTGTAGTGACCACTCTGGTTACTGTCTCGGCCTAAAAAGCCCTATCCCACTTCTGCTTTCTGCTGCTCAATCTTCAATAAGGTATTTCTGGGAGAACCAAGGGATCCAAGTGAGAGTGGGGCTCTGTATTTATAGGATTATGCTCAGATCTCTCCAGGAAAAGCTTGACCAGGCATTAATCTCACCTTCCATGTCTACCCTCATAAGAATTGGAGACAAAAGATGGTGCTAAGACCCCATGAAAGAGGGAAATCCAGCCACCAGACACCTTTCTGTGGGGAAAAAAACCCAGCAGCTGGGCACTAAAACTGCTGTTAGCCAATACAGATCCCTGTTGCCCTGGCATGCTCCTGTATACCTCTGGGGAAGGAAAGAAAAAAGTCCAGCCAATCACCCTCTGACTAAAGCCAACCAACCTTTTCAGAGGCAGCCTCCAGCGATTTCAGGTTGTTAGTGACATTCTTGAGTTCTTCTTCCAGGTCACCACATTTTCTGCACAAAGACAAAGGATTTTTATGTCTTATCTTCCCTTACCGCAGGCAATCCCCCTAACAGCATTCCTCCAAAGGAGGAATCCACACTGCCTGGAGCCCCCCACAGGAATGCGGGGAAAAGGTTAATGGCCTTTTCTGAGCTGGAGCACTGTGTACTTAGCAAAACCCTATCATGCCAGGCAAAGGCGCGGCAGGCAGGCTGCGGAGTATTGGAAGGTTTATAGAGTGCTCCTGGGCTCCTGCCAAGGCTGAGGCAACAGGGACTTGTGGAATCTATGATTGATGAGGCTGACTCCGGAAGGTGTAAGAATGAGATGGAGAGCAGGAGGCTGGGAGACAGCAGTCTACACCGGACACTACAGGAAGCAAGCCCAGAATGGATTTGTAAAACCAGACCCCCTTCAGCACTGTGGGATGCTCTGTGGAGCTGGAGGGCCCAGGGAAGAGGAATTTTTATATTTTGGAGCTTTCTGGATTCTGGTCAAGCTTCTTACCCCCTCCCCCGCCTGTCGGGGTTAATGTGTCATTGCCAAATAATGACTTCAGAAGCAAAGTATTTAAACACTGGGTGGGAGGAGGGGAGTGCTGCCTTCTGTAGGTCAGCTTTCTGTAAAGAAGGCACGCCTACTGAGATAGTCTCTCTGGAAGAATAAGACTTCTCTGCTACCAGCTGTCTCACTCCTACTTCCTAATACCTTTGTGGTTAGAGTCAAGACGTGAACAGCAAGGACAAACAGTTGCCACCTCTCTCTGTCAGCCACAGAAGCAAAGAGGAGCTACAGAGCAATGAGTCCAGATGCCCATCCACTTGACCAGAGGCCCTGGTTGGTGTAAACCAACTCCCTCCAGCTCTGACCCAAAAGTTGAGCTGGGCCCCACTCAGTTCTGCTCTGCCACTCACAGTTCAGACACCTCGGCACGCTCCTCTGCTCTCTCCAGCTCGCCCTCCAGGATGACCAACTTACGAGCTACCTGCAGAGACAGAAAGGATCATCGGAGACTGACCTGCCGCCCCCCCACACCCCCCAACAGCCACATCTAATAGGATGCCCTCCCAGTGCAGACAGTGAGGCTACACCCAGACTATGCCAGGGGCTTACTGCTGCTTCTTTAACTCAGTCTGGAGAACATCCACATTCTCTCCCTTAGGTCCCAAGAGTAAGGCAGACAGGAGGGGAAGGAAGAGCTGAGACCATGGATGCAGGCAGGAAGGGGACTGAAGACCCATGACCAGGGACCACGATTCCCAATTTTAGCCAAACTGTGCTGAAATACCCAGCTGCGGGACAAAAAGTGATCTGGTCAGCTGATTTCCCCACCAAGTCAGACAAGCGTCACAGAATTCCCCAGGACCTTTTGGCATTGTGGAAGATACAGTTCCCAGCCAAGTGGTGTCTCTGGAAAAACAGATGTGGATACAGATGGACAGCTGACCTAACAGAGGACTTCCTTTGGGCAGCCCCAGGATCTCCCTATCACACATCCATTTCCTCCCTATTTCCTGCTGCCGCCGCCATCTGCCAGCCCCACTCACCTCCTCGTATTTGCGGTCAGCCTCCTCTGCAATGTGCTTGGCCTCTTTGAGCTGCAACTCCTGGATCTCCATTTTCTCCTCATCTTTCATGGCCCGGTTTTCTATCACCTTCATTCCTCTGCAAGGACAACCTTGTCATTACCAACACAGACACAGTACCACCTCACCACACTCCTCCACGGACCTGCTCATCGAAGCACTTGCCAGACATCTGCCAAGAACCAGACTCCGAAGAGGAAATTATAGAGCTGCTCACATGTACTTTTCACCCTTACTGAACGCTGGGTACTGCTCTAAATGCCTTAAACTTCAAAACCACCCCATGAAGTGGTAGGTACATTGTCCCCATTTCACAGAAGAAGAAACCCAGGCACAGAGAGGCGAAGTGACTAGTAAGTGCAGGGCTGGGACTCAAACCTGGTGGTCTGACTCTGGAGTCTGTGTTCTCATTCTAAATAACCTCTGACTAGTAACAGGATGTATTTGTACTGTTACTACAATGTGATCAGAGATCTGGGCCAGCTTGGCTAAGGAGAGATGAATTCTGTTGCAGTGGGGGAGGTGTCACAGAAGATGTTCCAGAAGAGAGTCCACAAGTGAACAAGGGAGGGAAAGTTATTCTTCAGTGAGGGAGCCGCACAAGAAAGCCCCAGAGAAATGTCACAACACAGCAGGAGGTCAGGGTGACTGGACTGTAAGGTGGGTGGCACTTGACAGTTTCAAAAACAAGCGAGTGGAAACCAGAACGATGAATGGATTGTAGTGGGGTACCAACAAGGTGAAGGGTGAGGAGAGCCTGAAGGGGATACCTCCTGGGGACAGCTGGAAGTCTCCCATGATTCAGTTGGCTGACCATGAAATGAACTCACTCTGGCCTGTACTGCTTGGAGTGATCTAGGTAAGATCAGCAGCTCCAAAAAGGCTGACCCAGGATAACATAGCAATGTGTGCAGTGCCCACCCAGAGCAAAGGAGCACACACTTCTGCTGTCTAATAAATACTTCCATTTGGGCTGTCACTACCATTCTCAGCTGACTGTCACAACACCCTGCACAGCTATACAAGGCCTCAAGATCAGCAGGTGAGCAAGCTTGGAAAACCCTCTGTAGCCCTGGAGAGATCAAAGTGGCCAGCCCTAGGCCATGTAACAAGTGGCAGCAGGACTTGTACCTAGATTCTCCAGCTTTTGAGTGTAAAATTCCTTTTACCAAAAGACATCAGTCACCAACAACAGTGTCACCAAAAACTTCTGGTGATACAAGTGAGAAGCAATCCCAGGCTTTCCGGGTTTGCCCTGAGGACATCTTCAAAAATGAGATATCCAGCCAGGCTAGTCTGGCAGTGTCCACAGACAACAGCTAACCCAGGCCCCAGGCTCAGCCATGAGCACCTTGTGACAGGATCCTTCATATTTCCCATAGCATCCCCTCCCTCCCCCACTCTAAGTGGCTAAAGCAGAGCCTGCCCTGGGGTCTGGGGTCTACACCCTCATTTTGGCCGTTCCACTGCACGGGAAGAAATTTCCTGCTTGGGCAACTCCCAGAGTCCATCTCCAAGTTCCCCAGCCCCCCCTACCCCCCAAATTGGTTTTTAATCTCCAGTTTATGGTCACAACAGCACATTCAGGAATGAGTCCTTTGGAGGAATTCATCCTGGAAAACCACGGTGGATGGGTCAAGTGAGAATTCTGGTGGGATCGTGGTAGACACGCAATGACCACCAGCCTGGCCCACACCGTCGCCACCCAAGGAACCCATTTACACCGCAGAGACAGGTACTCTGTGAATCCCACAGTCTGATGGAATTGTGCCAGAAAACTGTCTCCAGAAGACAGAGCACCCTGCTGGACGCCCAATGCAGCGCTCATGCCTCAGAGGTGAGGAGCACTGTCAGCTCAAGTTTGTGCATGTCCCTGACGTGTTTAGCTATCTAGTAGCCCAAAGCCTGACCACAGCATTGTATACAAATATACGTGTGGGGCTGTTCCAAGTTTTATCCTGCCTCCTCTCACTTGACCCCGGAAATTGATGTCTTGAGGACTTGATGAGTGGCAATGGGCATTCGAACTCGAAATTTAACATATAGGGAAATGTGGGTCAGAGCGCGCCATGCTTTTGACCCCCCCCCCGGAGGGAGTTTTCTCTTCCCCCCCACAAACAGCTCTATATACAGTGTGAGGGTTTTCAAGACGCTGTCGTGCATTGTACATATGTGTGCATGCTCACATCATGTGATTACACTCTCACCCCAGGTCTGTGAGGTCAGCCATCCATTCAGATCTCCATTTCCCAGAAGCCGCCACCAGTGCCACTGGGTTCAAAGCATCCTTACCTCTCGCTCTCATCGGCAGCCTTTTCTGCTTCCTCTAGCTTCTGCAGGGCCGTGGCCAGTCGTTCCTGAGCCCTGTCTAACTCCTCCTCAACAAGCTGGATGCGTCGATTGAGAGCTGCCACATCTCCTTCAGCCTGGGAGGTCAGAGGTGCAGCCAGGTTAGGAGGCAACAGGCCAGCAGTGGGAAGCCCCCACTCACACACTAGCCTTCCCTCAGCTAACATGATTCCCCCTACCAGAGCCCGTCCAGGAATCCAGGCAGTAAGGAATCCACCCTTTTCTGGAGAATGTGAATAATTTTCTGTGATCTTCCCTGAAAACATGAGGGAACACTGCCACTCAATGATGAGGGGGTGTGTCCCAGTACAGGATGGGTGGTCAAGTCAACACAGAAGAGAAGTAAGTATACCATATGCTGTGAGAGCACAGTGCTGGCCTCTCCATGCCTGGGATTCCTAGAGAACAAGGCCACCGGGGACCTGGCTCACCCAGTCACCTCGATGGCAAGATAAATGCAAGAACATGGAGCCCTCAGTTAAATCCTGGCCATACGCTCAGGGGAAGAAGGCAACCAAGATGGAACACCATCCTTAACTAAGTCTGGCCGAGAGATGACAGGATAACATATAGAAGAAATCTTGGTTACAAACATGGAAGAGATGTCTGAAGAGTGTCACTGGCTTTTCAAGGTGTTTTTCCCCACAAGGAAGATCACGTGGTGGAGTGTGCCTAAAAGCAAGAACTCCAGGATCAGAAGGTGTTGGCTCGCTTTGCCAGTTTGTAGCCATGTGCATTAGGCTGGTTGCTTCACGGCTCTGAGCCTCCCTATCCTATCCCTTCCCTGTCTTGCTGCGAGGACTGTCATTGAAGGGCAAGGCGTTGTACCTGTCCTGTGGTTAAGTCCCACCGAAGGGCAGCTTTACGGCCAGGATTTCATCTCATTTAATCCTCGAGTATCCCACCCATTTTGCAGATGGAAAAACAGAGGCCCGGCTAGGGGACATAGTTCTGGCTAATGTCACAGAATTGGGAAGGAATGGCCTCTTGGGCACTAGTCCAGGGTTCTTGCCTTGCTCCCTGAACCTTGAAGTCCTGGGGAGGAGGAGGGGGCAGGGGGAGGGGGGCAATCAAGGCCAGCCATGCTCAGGAAGGGATATTGAGAATGTGTGAAAACAGGGCTGAACCAAGGGGAGACGTGAAGGCCTCTGAATTGGGGTAGGCTGTAAGAATGAGTGGGAAACCGCTCCCCTGCTCCTTTAAACAGCAAAAATACGGAGTCATAGAACGAGGCCTGAGTTGCTCCAAAACAGAACCAGGCATCTTTTCTCAGCTCCAGAGTCCTAGCAGCAAATGGCGGGGAAACTCCCACAAGTGTTTCTGATGGCAGCCTCTTCTGAAACACCAGTTTGGAGAATCTATTAAAAACCACTAATGAGTTATTTTAAGAAATGTCACCCACTCCTTCCAATGAGTGCTTTTTATCCTTTTAAAATTAGGTGAATCTTAACTCCTTCAGCAACTGGGGCAGGAGTTGAATTCCCCCTAGTTTTTTAGTACAGTCATAAAATTGTGCAACCAACACCACTATGTCCAGAATATTTTTGGCACCCCAACAAGAAATCCCATACCAATTAGCAGTTAGGAATCGATGTTTAAGCTCATATAGAGTGCTTGATTTAGAAGCTGTCTTTTTTTTAAAAAAAAAAAAAAAAGTGAGCGGCTCCTTATGTTGGGGATTCTGAATCCTGACATCTAGGCTTTGGGCACTTTTTCAACTATCTGGACTCGAAAGACTTCTGCGATGCACTCATCTCTATGGACGCAGACATATATATGTATTTTTGAAAAACTGCTAGTCACTGCTAGTCATTTGGGGCTCCACCCCTTCCTGCAATCAAAGCTTCTACACTCTACAAAGGATTTCCCTTATAAGGTAAAAGAGGCTTGCTAGATACATGTGGCCAAGGAACAGGAAGATGTCGGTTAATCACACAAAAATCTAAATGAAACCAGCTGTTGGAGGCAGCCCCAGAAGTCTGCCACACGCCGGCTCTTGGCTTACTCTACAGGCGACTGAGAAAGTTTTTCCCCCCTCTGGGCCCCATTCCTCTGCCCAAGAACCTTCTTCAGGCTTTCCCCCTCCTGACCGAGAGAAGCATGCTTTGAAAGGCTAACTTTTTAAGATGTCTGCAACTTTCCAAAAACATCTCTCCTCCCAAATGGATATCCCACTCCTGTCTTGGCTCGCGGCTGAGGCCATTTTTAAGCAGAAGTAATTGTCCTCCAGCGAGATGACTTGGGTTGAGATCAGAGGGAGGATTACGCTGGTTCCGTGTGCGAAAGAGGCCAAACCAGCTACTGTTGGAGGCTTACAGGATTAAAGGCTGCGACTCGGGCCAACCCTGAAGCCGTCTGGGGCACAACACCCATGGCAATTCCACCTGGCCCAGCGTCTTCTCCACTTCTGGGGACCCCACTCTTGAGTCCCAACATTCCAGCTTTCAGGGCCCCTTGGCTTTCACCACCCCCCGCCAACTTATGAGTCTTTATACAACCAGGTGTCCTGTCCCAGAAAATTCAGAATTTTCTGCCCAACCTCCATTTTGAAGCTCCACTGGGTTGCTCCCCACAACAGAACTGAGACCACCTGAGATGCAAAACAGTTTTGTGTATCTGTCCCCCTTATCAAATTACACTGTGAGCTTCTTCTGGGGGAAGCAGGAAGGGAGAAAAAAGAATAACAATAATTGATACCACACAACCTATGAGTCCAAGGAGCCAGGGAGATATGGACCCGGGAACGCCCGCTAACCCTAAAGAGCACATTATCCTCACCCTTAGGGGAAATCACGACGGA